TTTTTTTATTTTTTTTTTTTATTTTTTTTTTTTGTTTGTTTTTTTTTGACATTGTTATTAATGTAATGAAATATCAGTGGCATTGTCTGTGTGATAAGTAATCAAAATTACCTTCATGCTTCTCCCTTTAAAACAAGGGTGGGCAACATCTGGCCCCGCCAAGGCAACTGTAGGTGGGACTCAAAATTCAATAAATGTAGGAGCTTTTTTTTTCATAGCAACATAAATGTATATTAAGTGAATTATATTAAGTGAATGATGTTATAAATATCCAAATGGCCCTTGGCAGAAAAAAGGTTCCCCACCTCTGCTTAAAAGTATCTTGCATTGTAAACAGAATATGTTGACACAGACTATTTTCCCTTAATGTGTTAATATGAACTATTTGTGCTTTTGAGGTTTTAATGGCATTCTTTTTTATTAATACAGAAACTATATGCTGTCCACATACATGCTCCTCCTGTCTTTTGAAATGGACAATACTGGGAGATGAGAAAACAGGCCCAGACAAAGAAAACTTTTTGATTAGTAAGATGGTTATCATCATGGAATATTTTGGCTTTTTTTTTCTAGTTATTGTTTTAATGTCTCCTGATTACATCTCATTTACTCCCTACTCTGCCCAACATTCTTCTTATGACCTAGAAATAAATATTCTGATTACCACAAGCTGAACATAGTGTTAACACAGGTCAATTTTATCAGTGAATGAGTCATTTATCTCATGCATGTTTTAGACATTTTTCTAGAATAGCTATTTGAAATTCATTGTCCCTGAAGTTCTTAGACTTTTTCCTAGAACTTCTCAGATGTAAAGATTTTTTAACTTTCACATGTTTCCCAGTATAAAGCCCCTTCAGCTGAGAAAACATTTGTTTGTGATAGGAAGCTCAAAATAATTTCATTTCTTCAGAACAGATATCCTCATAGCTTCCATAGCCTTCAACCTCTTAAGCAGGGTTTTAGTAATAACACAAAACACTAAATCTCCCTCTATACTCCTCTGTTACTCAATGTAACCTGACCTAAAAACCAGTGAAATTCTCTCAATCCCAGAATGTGCCTTGTCTGATTTAACATCTTTTTAAACAGGTAAGATTTAAAACTGTTTAGAATAAGGTATTGAGATTGATGAATCCTGTTACTTTATAATCTGTCCAATCTTCTCTATTATTACTCAACTATTACAGTTGAATGCCTTGGCCAACAGAGCAGCTGGGAAGGGTTATGAAAATGAAAACAACTATGCCAACATTCGCTTCAGGTTCATGGTCACTGAGAACATCCATGTGATGTGGAACAGCCTGCAGAAACTCTTAGAAGGTAGAAGGATTTCACCTTGAATAGGCCAGAGGCCAGAGCTTTGCATTAATATATAATATATATATGCCTGATTTGGTGTAGACCATAAAAGCAACCGGATGAGCAGGTTCAATAGGTGATAAGGTTTTTGACTATAGTATGAATCCAGCTTACATAGTATGAATTATAGCAGTCTTGGTCTGGCAGAGGAGCTAAGATGTTCAGTTTCATAAATTGGTGGAGTCCATCTGGGTTTAGTTGCTGTGTAAATAATTCATCTCTATAGAATTATAGAGGCTGGTGTTTAGGAGTGTAGGTCAACATAAATTTAAATGAATTGGAGATTCATTGCATCATTCTCGGGGTGAGAAATCACCTCATTTAACCTACTGTAAGGAGTCATTCGGATTTCATCACTGTGCTGATGAAGGGGGTGAATTTAGACTTCAACAGAATGAAGCTAATGTCATACAATTTGGGTCATCTGTCATCACTGAAAAATAATTGGGGTCAAAGTAGAGGGAAGGCGAGATTGGGGCCTTACAGGACTCTTGAGTCTCAAACATTTCTCTCAAAGCCACTACCGAGGATTCCATGAAGTGCTATGTCAACTCAGGAAGAGATGGTGAAAATCTGCCGTCTTTAGTGAACTCTCTGTTCTTCCTCTCTTTTTGTCAATTTTATACTTATGTTATAGGCCAAGACCTCTCCCTTACATGACCCTTATCAGATCCTGTTTCAGCAGTCTGCATCCTATTTAGGATATTAGTGTTCCTCTTCCTTAAATCTCTTCTTTTTTTCTCTTTGTCCCAGAATATGTGTAGCAGAGAACAGGACTTCTTACTGATTTTTTTGAAGCAAAAGATTGCCCTCTGCTGGATAACCAGTGCAAAGTTCATGAAAAGTAACCTTTTCCCTTCCCAATGTGTTGAGATTGCACAAGGATGCAAGGAGTAGGTGAGGGTGTGGGAGAACAGACAGATGTTAGGGGGCTGCAGAGTTAAGATGAGTGAGTGTGTAAGTGTAGGTAGCTAGTTTTTAATATAAGAAAGCTAGTTATTAATTAATATAAGGTAAAGCGCAAAAGGGAACTAAATAATCTTATATAATAAAAGCCTAATATGCAAATTGTCCCCTCAAACAGGGAGTTCGACCTGGAGACTGGGAGTTTGACCACTTGCTATGATATGCACTGACCACCAGAGGGCGGTGTGGAACATGGCGGGTTTCAGCAATCGGCTGCTACCTCTCACTGGCTACCTAGGGACGGGGGTGATGGGGACAGAGGTGCAATGAGAATGCAGGGTGTCTGCCAAGCTTGCTCTCACTCCCCCTGCTACCTTCCCCCAGGACACCAGGGCTCATGCACTGGGGAAGGCCCCTCCCAGCCGCCCCCCCACCCCCCGCTCAGGTGCCAGGCACCCCGGAGAAGCCCGACCCTGCACCTTCTGGGTGAGCCAGGCTGCAGCCGCTGGGACCACAGGGGCCGGTTGAGTTCCCTGTGGGTTTGCGCAGGGCCCGCCTGGCTTCCATGTGGCACTGCTGGGTGGCCCAGAGGCTCATGCTGCACCCTGGCCCACAGTGTCTGGCTGTGCTCACCACATTTCCATGTGGGGACTCAGGTGCTATGACTCAGGCAGAGGGGGGTGTGTGAGGGCCTGGGGGTCCAGGTGCTGCCCAGGGCCCAGAGGTCACCTGGGACCTGCCCTTCCACACCAGACGCTCACGCTTCGATCGCTGCCCAGGCCTAGGGACCGCACCTGTGCATGAATTTCGTGCACTGGGCCTCTATTAAGCTTAATAAACTGGAAAGCTGATGCAGGTAGCAGGGCATCATTCCATCTAGTTTGCTGGGAAACTATAGAGTAAACAAACTCATTCACATATTCCAGGGGACTGCAACTAGGAGACCTAATTCTCACAATGGACAGGAAAATCTCCCCAGGGATGCTGCAGGGCAAGTACTAAATTAGCAGAGAGGCAGGAGGGGAAATTCTTATGATGCCACATGCACAGTAAAAAACAGATGACTGAGAGCCAAGGCGAGGGCATAGGAATAAATGTGTTTTTGAATAAAAGGAGATGTGAGTGTTTTCCTCTGGATACTGACTCATTCTTCTGGCTCTTCTCTTAGAGATTTTTGTTGGCTTGGGGGTAGATTGTACAACTCAAGAAAGAAGGGACTGGCTCTGGAAGCTATGGTAGACTCTAGCCCTAATCCTGTCCCTGATTCACTGTGTGGTTTCTAACTAATCATTTCACTTTTCTGTGCCTCAATTTCCTCATTTACAAAATTAGGATCCACTTTTTCACCTTTCTTGGTGAATAAATAGAGGTTATTGTGAATTTCAATTTCTGCTTCTGTAACAGGACAACCAAGGAATTCAGGCTGCCTGTCACTACTTCAGCCAATTAAGCAGAGACAGAGTTGAATCATATATGAGCGTTTATTCCAATAATGCTGGCATTATGGGATAGCAGCAGGTAATCCACAAAAATCTGCTCTCCATCCCACCATAAGCCAGCTGTTTATATTGGGTAGAAGGACAAAGATTATGTGGGAAAGTAGGAATTATAGGTATGGGAAAGTGGGCATGGAATATTCATTACAGGTTACAAGTCATGTGGGCTGGAGAGAGGGAGTCACAGAGGGCGGGTGCCCCCAGGTGTTCCAGGAACAGATTACAGGGGCTAGGGTTGTAAAAAGCAGGTGCCTCCAGGACTAGATTGTCTCAGCATTAAGGTTGTAAATGCCTAATGATAGGCAGTTCTCAGGACAGGAAGGTGGACTGCATTCTCATATTAGCTTCCATGTCCCAGGGTGTACAACTCCCAGCCAAGTGAAAATGTGCTTTCTCTAATCAGAACAGAACCATCATGGTTAACAGAGCATGATTAATATTTCCTATAATTGTAGCTAATCCCCAATATTCTATTTCTGCCCCTGACATTTCCCTGTCTACCTTAGTTTGTGAATTGAAAACTCCAACAGTGAGTGAGTTTCTTAGTGGCCTGGAGAGCTCCAGGTGGTTGAGACACATTAAAACTATTATAGATGCTGGAATTTTCACTGCAAAGGTAATAATCAGGACTTTTAAGAACTTGTACTGACTTTAACTATGGGATCTCTTGAGGTAGCCATTGTATCATGGTGGAAAGAATACTGAAAAGAAACTTAGTTTCTAGATTCCCCTCTGCTACTAATTCATTGTGAGCCCTGGGCAAATCTTTTCCAGGCCACAGTTTCTTCATCTGTAAAACAAGGTGGTTGGACTAGAATATAAAGTTATAATTTTTGTAAGATCCACAGAACTCTTTGGGAATAGACCTGACCTGGGCCCACAGCGCAGCAGCAGCCCCTGCAACCACTGCTGATCTGGCTCTGCCTCGATCCCTGGCCCCTCAGCCTGCTGGTCCGGCCCTGCCTCACTCCCTGGATCCCTGGACCCCTGGACCCCTGGACCCCTGGACCCTGCAGCCTGCTGGTCCAGCCCTGCCTCACTCCCTGGACCCCGCAGCTTGCTGGTCTGGTCCTGCCTCCCTCCTCTGCTCTTGAAGCAGCCACAGCTACTGCTGATCAGGCCCTTCCCCAGCGCAGGCGTCATGGAGGCCCCTGCCACCCCGCCCCCCATGCTGCTCACCCAACCTCCTGTCCAGTTGACCCAATAGGGTGTCCCAGTTAATTAGCATATTTCATATATATATGCATAATATGCTAATTAGGCCAGATGTCCTTCCGGATGACCTTCTGCAAGGGAAGCCCAGGTCCTGGGTGCCAGAGGTAAGCCAGTGCAGGCAGCCAGGGAGAGGAAGGCCTACTCTTGCACTAATTTCATGCATCAGGCCTCTAGTATATATATAATCACTATTTTAGCATAGACACCTCTAAAAGTCTTATAATACAAGCAGGTGAAAAGATGGTGAGTCCTAGCTATCCTATTAACACTAGCATATTGAATTTCTTAGACCTGTTTTTACTTTTTCATTTTGTTTCTTTAGAGTTGTCTTTTTTTACTTTTCTCTCTTTTTAAATCTTTCTTCAATAATTGACACAGAAGTTTCTCTTACCTGGGTTTTATTTTTGCCCCATTGCTACCACACTCCAGGTAAGAGAGAGATTACTAGGAATCTTTGCCCGGAGCAGGTGAGAAGTTATTGAACTAGAAGATGCTTTTTAAAAAGATTGATACAGCCCTAACTTTGATAGATAGATAGATAGATAGATAGATAGATGATAGATAGATGATAGATAGATAGATAGATAGATAGATAGATAGATAGATAGATAGATTAGAGGCCTGGTGCATGGATTCGTGCACTGGTGGGGTCCCTCAGCTTGGCCTGCAGGGATCAAGCTGAAACCAGCTCTTCAACATCTCCCGAGGGATCCTGGATTGTGAGAGGGAGGTTCTCGGGTGACGGACCCTGGAATTCGGCTCCCTCCTCTCTTCTCCCAATATTATGTCACTTGCTCTCTGTATCTGTCTCGTTGCTTTCATCTCACTTTACCCTAAGTTTAGCAGTAATTGACAACTTGTGAGCATTTAGCTGCAAAATGCAATTATTTAGCAAACAGGATTTACTTAGCCTGGAATCTAACTGACATAGGGCAGGACCCTGCTCAATGTCAGGCTCCCACCTAGGTCTTTTCTCCCAGGCAGAGTCCTTTGGCAGCGGGAACCTCCTTCTTCCCACCTGAGCTTCTCCTTCGCCTCCTTATCTCCCTAGAGGTTGCCCGCTAGGGCGACTGTCTTCCCAGAAGGATGGAAGCAGCAGCAGGGCAGGTTTCCCAGCCGAGTGGTAGCAGGAAAATTCGCTGCCTCCACTAGAAATATTAAGCAGATGGGCTGGTGTGGGAGCCAGATGTCAGGCCACAGCCAGTAGGTTCTGCACATCTCATCATTTAGCTAGTGGGGTCAAAAAGTTTCCGTGAGGGCCAAACCCACAACCTCTACAATGGGCTAGAGGCCTGGTGGGGAGCCAGACCTGAAGTGGGGAGCCAATGGGCTAGAGGACCAGTG